TGAGTAGTTTAAGTAATTGTAAAATAAGTGTAAGGTTTTTTTTTTTCATTTTTTTTTAAAGATTTATTTATTTATGCATACAGAACTGGGGTACAGGCCAGAGGTACAGGAGTGGTGAGAGGACTCACCAGAGACTGAGTGGGGAGCAGAGTAGGCAGATTGATGAAGTACACTGCTGAGGGGGGCAGTGGGCAAGACAGGAGGGGTCTCTGCACCATGTGAATCACCTCCAGGGCAGGGGATCAAATTTGCACTGAAGCAGCTGCAGCGAGCTTGCAGTGCTACATCCTTACCCATTGAGCCACCAGCTAAAGCCCTCATTTCTTTTTTTTAATCTTGGAATATTTTAAAACTACATGGTAGAGTGACAAATATTAAAAATAATGGTAACACATAAGGTTGAAGTAGCTAGACGGTGCTGCTGGTTAGGAGTATTGATTGGTATAAATTTTGTGTAGGGTGATTGCCACAGAAGACAAAAACTTAAAACTATATATTCTGGGCCTCCCTGGTGGCTTAAGGACAGAAGCTCCAAGCCACAGTAGCACAAGTTCAATCCCTGGCAAGGTAGCTGATCCACATGGCGCAGCAGACCTCTGCTGTCTCACCTGCTGCTTCTCTCAGCAGTGTTATTTGAGTGGATCTGCCTGTTCTGCTCTCAGTCTGTCTCTGTTGAAGCCTCTCTGGATTTGCCTATTCTGGTGCTGGGGAGAAGATTACAGAATATAGATCAGAATTGCATATTAGCCCCAAGCCTCTGTTACTCTGTTGGCCTCTAGCCTGGATTAGTGAAAGAAAGCTCCAGCTTAAGGTAGAAGCAGAAGCTCTAACTGGCAAGTTGTCTGCTCTTCTGGAGTCTCCCCTGGCACTGTTAGAGACAGTCTGTGTGCCTTCAGGTGACTACATCAAAAAGTGTTTGCCTGGCTTGACTCTGCACCGGTGGCCTTTTCTTCATCAGGCTGTTGGCCTCCATCTGCTCTTCTGGTTGGGTTCTAAGCCTCCTTTGATTGCCTTTTTCCTGTACCTGCCCTAACTGGAGTGGCATCCCAGATGGGAACAGTTCCCATACAAGCAGAACTAATCTTTTGATTCTCCCTGGGGCACTATGACCCCAGAAATGTCTCCCTGCAAGGCAACCTGGCTGAAGTAGCCAGCATGGAGCAGCCCAAAGATACCAGCTCCGAAACCAGGGCATCCTTTGACCTGCAGCAATCCTAGGAAGCAGGTATGCTCACCTGGGCATGCCCCTGCACACATAAACGTGTCCCCTTCTGCCGTCTCTTGCTGGGAGGGAAGCTCCCTATTCTTCTGACCCTCTCTGAGAAGCCTGACTGGACAGAAGGGCCACTCTGCAGTGGGGCTGACAGGAGAGCACTTTGTGTGCTGATAATTCTTTGAGGAGCCACCCCTAAAGCTTCCTGGTTGGTCATAAACTAAAGATTTGTTCAATTTGCATTTTTTTTTAAATAACTTACCACCTTGATACTGTATTTTATGCATTTTATTTGAATTGCGGTAACATTGGTTTATATCATTCTTGTTCCTTTTTTTTTTTAAGATTTATTTATTTATGCATACAGAATTAGGGTACAGACCAGAGGTGCGCAGGGTGAGAGGATTCACTAGAGACAGAGTCGGGGACAGAACAGATAGATGTACTGAAGTACACTGCTGAGGGGAGCAGTGGGAGGGTCAGGAGAGGTCTGCCACGCCATATGGGCCACCTCCCTGGCCAGGGATCAAACTTATGAAGCAGTGACTCCTATAGCTTCATAGAGCTGAGACTCCCTGTGCCACCAGGGAGGCCCAAAACTCCTGTTTTTAAAACAATATATCAAGACATAGTTTTCATATCATATAATTCACCATGGTTTGTAGTGTTGTCAAATTTGTGCCATCATCACCAGAATCATTTCTCCCCATTTTCTATTCCAACTTTAAACAACTACTAATTTATTTACTGTCTCTGGATTTGCCTATTCTGGGCATTCTGTATAAATGGAATCATAAAATTCCATACAATGTGGACTTTTATGGCTGATTTCTTTTTCCTAACAAGTTTCCAGGTTCATCCATTTTGTAACATGTATCAACACTTCTATTTCTTTTTATGGTTAAACACTATTCCACCCAGTGGATCCAGCATAACTAGCTTATCCATTCCGCCACTGATGAACATTGGCATTGTTTACACGTTGTAGACATTATGAAGAATGCTGCTGTGAATACACGTGCACAAGTTTTTGTGTAGACAGCATTTTCATTTCTCTTAGGTAGATACCTAAGGGTAAAATTTCTGGGTCATAATTGTTTGAGGAATCACCAGACTTGGCCAAAGGGGCTGGACCATTTTACATTCCTACTTGCTGTATATGAGGGTTCTGAGTCCTCTAAGCCTCACTGACATTTGTTAATAGCTGACTTTTTTATTATATTCACTCTAGGGAATATGAATCAGTAAGTTCTTTGTGGTTTTGTTTGCATTTCCCTAAGATTAAGTATTATACAATATAGAATGTCCATATTGGCCATTTATATTCCTTTGGAGAAATGCCTATTTAGATCCATTGCTTATTTTAAAAATAGGTTATTTATCTTTTAATTATTGAGTTGTAGCAGTTACTTAGAGGTTGTCCTTATGAGTCCCTGTCAGATACATGATAAGTAAAAGGTTTCTCTCTTCTGTGCATTATCTTTAACTTTTTTGTTTTAAAATTTATTTATTTGTGCATACAGAACTGGGCAGATCAGAGGTGTGGGGGGGGCGGGGGGGGTGAGCGGGGAGAAGATTCACCAGAGACAGTGAGAAGCAGAACAGGTAGATTGACTGAAGTACACTGCTGAGGGGAGCAGTGGGCGGTCAGGAGAGGTCTGCCAGCCATGTGGTTCCCCTCCCTGGCCGGGGATCGAACTCGTGCTGTAGTGGTTGCGATAGCCTCATAGTGCTGCGCTTTAACCCGTTGTGCTACCAGGGTGGGCCCATCTTTAACTTTTTTGATGGTGGCCTTTGAAGCACCACGGTTTTTAAATTTTGATGCTGTCTCTTACTCATTTTCTTTTACTGAGAGATAATTTACACAAAACACTTGATTTTCGGTATACAACATGATGATTTGATATATGCCTTCCTCATCTTTAATTGTGGGCATAATAAGCACACGTGACGAGGGGCAGGGGCATAGCCAAGTGCACACTGCCTGGGCTCAGCAACAGTGGCTTAGCTTGTAGGCAGTCATCACGTGTTTGGTAAAACCGCAACATGATTCAGTGCGACGGGGGGAGGGGAACACAGATTAGATCCATGTAAACAACCTGAGTGCAACTAAACGGGTTGGTATAGCTATCCAGGGAGCAATTCTCAATGCCAGGGACATCGTGGGTGTGGATGGGAAACCTTCACAACAGGCCTGGCTGTTTGGGAGGATGTTCTCTGCCCCGTGACTGTGGAGTCATGTTTTTCACCAAGCCTGGATTTGTTGGGAATCTCTGAGGGTTTCAGCGTTGGAATCATATGGGAAAGGCCCATCGATGCGAGATGCGGAGTGGCTGCGCCTCTCTTGCTGTTGACTTTCTCAGGTGCTGATGCAAAATATCGGTTGGACAGGGAAACCCCTCCTTGCTCTTATAAACTTAAATAGGAATCCTGGACCCTCCCCCTCCTGAACCCTATGGAAACTGTAAAATTCTGATTGGTGCTTTCCCGAAACTTTGTCTCTCAGAACCAAAAGCAGCTTTTGCTGACATCTGTTCTTTCTGGGACACTGATATTTTTATTTATAAAATGACGCTCTTGTCCCCAAATAGATTCTTATTTTTAACAGGCTTGCTCCCTTTGAGGGAGGCCTGAAGCTCAGAGGTTTGCTCTCTGGCATATCAGTATAACCCTGCAAACACGGGGTGGCCCAGCCTGGGCCAAGCAGAGAGGGCCATTCGTCCACCAGGAGGGCTAAGTCTGTCTTTACCTCTGCAGCTTGGTGTCTGCTTTACTCTTCTCCTCACCACTTTATTTATTTATTAAATTTATTTTTAAGATTTATTTATTTATTCATACAGAACTGGGGTACAGGCCAGAGATGCGGAGGGTGAGAGGATTCACCAGGGACAGAGCGGGGAGCAGAACAGGCAGATCGACGAAGTACACTGCTGAGGGGAGCAGCGGGCGGGTCAGGAGAGGTCTGCCACGCCATATGGGTCACCTCCGGGGCAGGCGGGAATCGAACTCATGGGGAAGTGGCTTAAACTTCTTAGTGCTGCGCTTTAACCTGCTGCGCCACCAGAGAGGGCCCTATTTATTTGTTTTTAAAAGATTTATTTATATGCATACAGAACTGGGGTACAGCCCAGAGGTGCAGGGGCAGTGAGAGGATTCACCAGAGGCAAGAATAAGGAGCAGAACAGGCAAGAACAGGCAGATTGACAAAGTATGCTCTGAGGGGAGAGTGGTCAAGACAGGTAGAGGTCTGCTGTGCCAGTGGGTCAGCTCCCGGGTGGGGATCGAACTACTGCTGAAGCTGTTGCCAGCTTTGTAGTGCTGTACTTTAACCCATTGTGCCACCAGGAATGGCCCCACTTTTTTTTTTTTTTTTAAGATTTTATTTGTTTCTTCATAGATCCGGGGGGCAGGCCAGAGGTGTGGGGCAAAGTGAGAGCTCTCAGGCAGAGAGGGGAATAGAACAGATAGACCTACTAAAATACACTGCTGAGGAGAGCAGCAGGCGAGACAGGAGAGATCTGTTGTGCCATTTGTGGGTCAGCTCCTTGGCTGGGATCGAACTCATGCTGGGAATAGCTTGATAGTGCCGAGACTTTAACCTGTGCCACCAGGGACTCCCCAGGAAAAATGCTTCAATTAGCAGTAATTGTCCCCAGGAGAATCCCTGTATGAATAACTTGGGGAGGAGACTGATAAGGAAAGGAGCCTGGAGGTGCCTGGAGCCTCTTCTCCCTCCTTCCTTTGTCCTCTGCCCCTTTGCTCAGCTCCCTCGTTTCTTGTCTTCCAGCTGCCCAACATGTTTGGTGACCTTCGGTCCACGTTTATTGCTCTGATGATTGGATCCTATGCCTCCTCAGCAGTCACCTTCCCAGGAATCAAGGTGAGGTGTGGCTGGCTGATTTCCAGCATGTTGATTTTATGCAGGTGTCTGAACAGAGGCCTCTCCATGGCTCCTTCAACCCTCTCTGAAGAGGGAAGTAATTGCGGTTGTTGGGGTGGGCCCCTTCCCCCCCACCCCCACCCCACACACGAGGATGCACCTGGGCCCCACACAAATAAGAAAAGAAAACCACCGGGCTATGGGGCATAAAAAAGTCAAGCATTCGCACCAGGTGTTCCCACAGGCTGCCTTTGCATTTCTGGGCAGTGGTAGAGAAAGGGAGTGGGTGAGTCTGTCCGGTCTTGAATCCACCTCCAGTCTCCCCGACCCCCAGCTCTGTTGTTGTTGGGCTGTTACTCTCCATTAGCAAAGCGCTGCTTTCAGCCAAGTTGGTTCAGCTGTTTCCCTCCCAGGCAGGATTCTGAGCCCATGGAAGTCACACAGGGTCAGGATGAAGCAAACACCTCATAGTCCATCAGCCCCAGTTCCTGTTCCAAAGCCTGTTACCCCTGCAGGGCTCAGAAGGGGTTTCCCTCTCCCCAGGCACCAGCACTTAGTGAAAGCCTCTTTCCTGAGGTGTATGGGGGAGCGGGGGCATAACGGGAAGGCATCACAGATGTGGGCTGGCCACCTGGGAATCGAGGTGCTTGGAGGGTCGGGACCAGCCATCCTGTTGACTTTAGGGGTCCTCACATTCCTGGAAGAGCTGACAAGTCCTCCGTGGTCTTCTCAGTGTCTTAACTGCTGGTCTCCTTCCTGGGGAGCTGGGCAGCTGTCTGCCAGGACTCCAGGGGCTGCTGTATTGGAAATAAATGATGATCAATCCATATCTAATGACACCTAGCACACTCCGCAGGTGACCTACCTGCTGGGGCCCGTTCCCAGCACTCCCCAGGGTCACACCCACTTCCCCCCATCACATCCCACCACTCAGGCCCACGCTACCTCCATTTCACAGCGCAAAGCCAGACATACCTCTCTGTTCATTCCTCGAGTATTTTTTTGGCCCCTACTATGTGTACTTCAAGGCATGGGAGAAACATCAGTGAACAGGGCCAGCAGGTTCCTGTTCTCAGGAAGTGAGTCTAACGAAGACAAGTAAATAAACTAAGAAATCAAGAATCTCAGCCAGGGCTGTTCACGGTGAGCCAGGGATGTGACAGTGATGGCAGTGTCAGGGAAGGTCTCCAGGGAGGTGACATTTGGGCCAAGCTGGAGGCTTAGGGGGTTAATGACATACCAGGGTGAGCTGGGATTGTGGGGATGCAGGGTGCCTGATGACTAAACACCCAGGCTGACAGGCTGTGCCTCCTTTTCAGTGAGCTTCAGGAGGGGGGTGGCTGCCAGATGCCCTCTGCCTGCCACCCGCCGGGCTTCTGCCGCTAACTGTCTTCCTCCTTCTCCCCTCTCTCATTGTGCCTGTCAGGTCATCTACGACTTTGGCGTCTCCTTCATCCTCATCCTGGTGGTCTGGGCCAGCTGCTCTGGGCTGGTTTTCCTCAACTGCTTCTTTAACTGGCCTCTGGAGCCCTTCCCTGGGCCAGAGGACATGGACTACTCGTAAGTGCATGTGCTGCCTGCCCCTAGCCCCACCCCAGCCAGTATCCTGGGCAGCACTGACACATGCTCTTCCATGGCTTCCAGGGTGAAGATCAAGTTCAGCTGGCTGGGCTTTGACCACAAGATCACAGGGAAGCAGTTCTATAAGCAGGTGACCACAGTGGGGCGCCGCCTCAGCGTGGGCAGCTCCATGAGGAACACCAAGGAGCAGGCAGCGCTGCAGGAGGGCCACAAGCTGTGCCTGTCCACTGTCGACCTGGAGGTCAAATGCCAGCCAGATGCTGCAGGTACCTGCCCTGCCGCCCTCACCTTCTGGGCTGCCTGAAATGTCAGCCAGGGCACCTGCACTGACACCCATGCCCTGGCCACAGAGGTGGCCAGCCCAGACCTGAAAGCCTCAGCCCTGGACCCCAGTCTCACCATGCCAGCCCCGGCTGAGAGCTCTGTGGCTACAACCTCACTTAATTTAACCCACTTCTCCCCAGTGGACAGGTGGTACCGCGTAGTCCACCCAGGTTCACAGATGAATGCACTAAGCTTAGAGAGCGTAAGGGATACCTAACCTACCTCGCACAACTGGGTGGACCCGCCTCTAACATGCACACTGCTAGCCTTACCGGGTCAACTAATCAGGCCTTCCACCTGGTCCCTAGGTGGTGGGTTGGCTTTTTTTTTTTTTTTAGATTGATTTATTTATTCATACAGAACTGGGGTACAGGCTAGAGATGCGGGGGGGGTGAGAAGATTCACCAGAGACAGAGTGGGGAGCAGAACAGGCAGATCGACGAAGTACACTGCTGAGGGGAGCAGCGGGCGGGTCAGGAGAGGTCTGCCACGCCATACGGTCACCTCTAGGGCAGGTGGGAATTGAACTCATGCTGAAGTGGCTTAAACTTCTTAGTGCTGTGCTTTAGCCCACTGTACCACCAGGGAGGGCCGGCTTTTTTTTTTTTAAGATTTATTTGTTTGTGCATACAGAACTGGGGTATAGGCCAGAACTGCAGGGGCAGTGAGAGGACTCACCAGAGACAGAGTGGGGAGCAGCACAACTGACGAAGTACAGCGCTGAGGGGAGCAGCAGGCGGGTCAGGAGATGTCTGCCAGGCCATGTGGGTCACCTCTGGGGCCGGGCATTGAACTTGTGCTGCAGTAGCTGTAGACAGCTTCATAGTGCTGCACTTAACCTCCAGCGCCACCAGGGAGGGCCCCAGGGGTGGGCTTCTGGACCACAGCAGCACTGTTCTCCCTGAACACCCTTGGCCTTGTCCCCACAGCAGCCCCCTCGTTCATGCACAGCGTGTTCAGCCCCATCCTGCTCCTCAGCCTCGTCACCATGTGCGTCACACAGCTGCGGCTCATCTTCTACATGGGCGCCATGAACAACATCCTCAAGTTCCTGGTCAGCGGCGACCAGGACATAGGTAGGTGGCCCCTGGACCTCAGTGTGCAGCCCCACAGGAGACGCCACGAGCAGTGGTCACTCCTTGGTGCCTGAGGTCAAGTCCACTGCTCGGCTGACTGGCAGTAGGGCCATAAGACGGCAGAACCCAAGGGACAGATTGATGGCCTGCTGGAGCCGTTTCATCACAGTCAGGGTGTTTAGGGTGTGGAGGGGATGTTTTCATTGCCTGCGGGTGGACGGTTGACGTGTGTGTTTGTAGGTGAAAACATTGCACAGGACGGAGTCCTTCACCTGAGACTTGTTGAGAGATGGCAAATCAAATCCAATGCCAGAAATTCCCCAGGGACCCAGAGGGTTGGTGTGTGAAGAGGCCGGGCGCCTTGGGGGAGGACGGCCAGCCTCTGGGGCGGTCAGGCCCACACTGGCATTGGCCTTCTGGGGCGGAAGCAGGGCCAGGAGGAGGCCTCCTCCCCATGTAATCCAGTCGAGGCTTGTTAAGTCTGGTAAACAGAACTGATAACCCACATGCCATTTTTCCAAAAACCACACAGAAGGTCCTCAGCTGATTAGAGGTTTTGATTGTACAAAGAAAGTCAGTACTTCCTCAGGGCCTGAGCTGAGTCAGCTTTAGTCATCCCTAAACGGGACAAACACTTTCGGTAAATCCTTTTTATTGGCAGTCTCTTTGGTGTGCAGCTTTTTTGTTGGTTGAATTGTTTTTCCCTGAGGGAAGATACCCTAGGCCATTGTAAGGAATTGAATCCTTCTTTATAGGGTTTGAGAAAAGATGACAGAGGGAACCAGTCAACACTGGTTCCTCTGTGAACTGGGAGGAACAGTCATGAGACCTTGCAGAACTTCACAGTGAGCACAGCACTGACACAGCACTGGCACAGCAAAGGCCCTGAAGAAGCTCTGGGAACAAAATCACCTGCTTAGCTTTGTTTAGTCCAGTGATATGCCCCCAAATGTCTACCACAGGAAAACTCCTGTCAGATAACACTCATTAAAATCTGTGCACCACACTTTGGGGAAAGCTGACCTAGCAGGTCTAAACACCTCTATTCCGAATCCTCAGGCCCAGTAAGGGAGAGTCCCTGAAGTGTGCAGAGTAAGGCCTTCATAAGGGCTTTTGGAAGTCTAATTTCCCAACTGCTGACTCATGGCTTTTTCACTCAAGTTTTCTGAGAAATCTTTTGCTACCTAAGAGGATTTTTTCCCCCCAACTGTTTCCCACATTCAAAAAGTTAATTTCAAGAAGCAGAGGAAGTAGGGCCAGGAAAATCAGTCTGTGGCTGACAAGGGCATTGGTTTTCCCCAGCCTGCCCCATGAGCCCTGCACAGACAACAGCCTTGTGCCCGGAGGGGCTCCTTCAGGGTCAGGGTGCCCATGTGGTAGAAGTGAGGCCAGCTCTGGCAGTTTGGGAGAGACCCATGGTGCCTGTCACTTTGGCTGAGGGTTGGGGTGGGTTCTTCGATTTCTGGCAAAGATGTATCCCTGTGGAGAGGGAGCAAGAGACAGAAAAACAGACACACTTTTTCTCTCTCACACACACACACACGCACACACACACACACACACCACAGGATCCTTCTGCACCCACGCCACTTCCTTTCCATGGTCCCCAGCCTGATTCACCAGCCTGCCTGTGACGGCACCAGCTGCACATGACAGAGGCCCCAGTAGACAAGAAAACATCAGCAGGCACCTGTGTCGGGCCCTCTCCTGCTTCGCTCCCAGAACCTGGCTCAAGCTTGGCCTCTCTTGGGCCTTCTGAGCATCAGTTCTCTGTGGGAGATAGCGTGCACACTGGGCCCAGAGCTCACCTGCCTCCACAGCCCAGCTCTCTGTAACAACCTTGGAGACTGGCTGCTAACCTCTCTCCTTCTGCTTTTTCCACCTTTGCTTTCTTGGTGCAGTGATGGCCACTGGTAAGCAGGGGGAGGGGGGTTCCTGGGAACATTGCAACATTCCCTCCCAGCCCACCCTTGTTCAGCCAAGAAACACCTTGCATTGAGTTCCAAAACATCCCTGTTGGCCAGAACTGTGGGTGGGGGTGGGGCAGCTTCTATTTGCCTGAAAAACCCTGTCGTAATTTCAAGACTCTTTGAAGATAGAAGCTCTTACGTCAGAGCCCCTATGATGGTACCTTCCTGGTATATTTCTAGAGTCAGAAAACTAACAGTCAGCTGCACACAAAGCCTCAGTCACTGGCATTGGTAACTTTGTGGTTCCCCAGACAGAGAGGCTTCCTGAAGCTTCTGGGGGAGGTCATTGTGACATCCTGGATTTCACTACAAGTTTCTTGGAAATGAGCTGGGGATTTGGAGAAGAGGGTAATCTGCCTATTGCCCCAGCTTTGATTTCAGAGGTTAAGGTTTCACTTCACTTGCCCTTATAACCCAAAGTGACAAGGGAGGGGGGCCGGGGGGCACCCCAGGAGCCCTGTGGGGCTCTCAGACTGCTCCCAGTACCTAGCCCTATCACCAGAACCCTCCCCCACCCTGACACAGCCCGTCTTCCTTCCCAGTTGGCCTCTACACCTCCATCTTCGGTGTGCTGCAGCTGCTATGCCTGCTGACAGCCCCTATCATTGGCTGCATCATGGACTGGAAGCTGAAGGAGTGTGAAGATGCCTCGGAGGAGCCTGAGGAGAAGGAAGCCAACCAGTGTGTAGCAGAGCCTGCACCCTAGCCCCAGCCCTGGGAAGGGGGGGGCGCAGTCAGATTCAGGCAGTGCCAGGGCGGCGCTTCTGTCTCATCAGCCAGAGGGGTGGGCGAGGCTCACCCTAGGCACTCTCACTGGGGCTCACAGGCCACTCTGCACACTGCCCCTGGGGCATCTGTGTGGCCCGCACTTCTATATGGAAATTCTTTGGTGTGTTGAAGTTTGGGAGCCACTGAACTTGTGAGAGAAAGGGAGAAACCAGAGGAAGATCAGTGTCAGCTGGTTAGCAAACCACTCTGCTGTTCAGATCGCAGTCAGATCCTCGGCACAAAAGGCTGAGGACTCCTGCTTGCCTGTGCCTCGTACTCCTCTCGGAGTGAGCATTAAGTTGCTCTGACCATCCTCTGGGTTCATTTACTTGTTCACGATTGTGAGGATTAAACAGAGTCATGTTTGTGGAACCCTACTCCACACAGCAGGGTGGGACTCTGAGATCAGAAGATGAATTAAATGCTGTCTTTTCTGACTCCACCTAATGTAATAAGCTGCTGCTCATTGTATTAGGCTCCGTTCCAAGCACTTAACACAGCCTCTCTGTTAGGCCACACATACACCTCGTACCCACTTTACAGATGAGGAGACTGGAGGTTGGCGTTTAAATAGCTTGCGTGGCGTGAGGTTATATAGGAGAAAGCAGGAGACCTGGGACGCCCTGTGCCTCTCCGGGCCCTTGGCATTCGTTCCTGGATGTCATACAGTTGTCCATGGGTGGTGAGACTAGGCTCAGTAATAGTGAATTCACAAGGCAGTAATTACAGAGAATGTTATCTAGGTCAGGTCCTACAGCCAAGAGGTTATTTGTGCCCACTCCAGTTCCATCTGCTTCATATTTGTTTCTCCTTCACCACGCCCCCCCCAAAGGGAAAACTACTCATTTCCTTATTTGGCTTATTATCTGGCCTATTGTCAGCTACCTGCAGGATTTGGGTGAAGCCAGAGCCAATGGTACAGTGAGGCTTTGCCACTTCTTAACATGGGCACGTCCTGCTTATCTTTTGAGCTGCCCTCACTGATATAATTGGTGTGTTGATGACCATCAGCTCTGATCTGACCTCTCCCCCAAGGTTCACATCCAGCGGATGCAGTGTGGGAGGGTCACTAAAAGTCTAGAAAATGTGCTGGGGTAGATGAACTCTGAGTCTTGTGGTGTCCATAAGCTATGACCCCCGAAGCCTGAATTCCTGAATGGGTCCATTCTCCACAGAGCCTCCAGCTCCAATGTGTGTTCTGTCCCCACAGGGGCCAGGAGAAGAAGACGGTGAAGCGGGACCGACAGATCCAGAAGATTACTAATGCCATGCGGGCCTTCGCCTTCACAAACCTGCTGCTTGTGGGCTTTGGGGTGACCTGCCTTATCCCCAACCTGCCACTACAGGTAAGTGTGGGGAAAGGGTGTGGTCGGGTGGGGTATGGGACAGTGAAACTCAAGAAGTACATGATGTGCCATCATTGTAGCTCCAGCAACAAAGAGTACTGTGACTTTTCCATTTATTTCACTCACCCAACCAATCAGCCAGCACCCTGTTACTTCCGGTGCTGGATGTGAGTTTCAAATAAAACTGGAACACCATCCACAGGAGACTCTTTCTTCTCTGGGAAGGCATTTGTTCTTGGCCTTTGGGGCATCTTGTATCACCCTCAAACCATTTCCAAAAATGTGTGGAGTAGTTTGTTCAAATGGCTGAAATATGATGTCCAACGAGGTCTAGCTAGCCTGCTGTGTGGGTGGGAACATCAACAAGTGACCCAGAGGTTCTCTGTGGGAAAGGTAGAAAAAGACTATGGTGATTACTTGAAATTTGGGCTCAAAGCTTAATTTCTTTGCATAAGATTACCGACGGTTTTGAAACCTTACTTTTGTCAAGATTTTGAGCAAGGTAGATTTTGTTACTTGTGTGTCTTCACAACAGTGTTCTAGCTGCAGCCCCCAGGTTTACAAACTTAGAGGGGACAGGGGCGATGGTATTACTTCCAGGTGGTGTATCCCAGCTCCAGGGGTTATCTTAGGCCAGGCCCAAGAGGAAAGCATAGTCCCTTCCTTTTTACAAGTGGCCATGAGTTGAGGACCGTTGAACACCCGGGGTATACCAGTCCTGGGTACTGTCAGTTGGATGTGTCCATACAAGTGCATATAGACTAGAGTAAACCACTGGAGTCTTGTAGAGCTCCAGGTGGGAGTGTGCTTGCCTCCTGGCACCTTCCTGGCCATCTGCTGGTGCCTTCTCTGCAAGATTGGCAGAGCCTTGCCCTGAACACCTTGTCCAATCATAGGGCGTTCCTCAATGGGAACAATTGTCTGCTTTTTGTTGTGTTTATTTCCCAGTGAAAGGAGAGTTGTAAAAGGCAACTGGCCTATGCAGAGAAAAGGGGGGGACTGCACAAGCATGTGCACACACAGGAGTGTTCAGCACTGCAGAGGGCAGCCCATGACCCCTCTGTCGCCCACATGCTTGGGAACAGGCCTGGCTGCTGAGCAAGAGGTGATGGCAGGGCTGTGAGCAAACAGAGGACCCTGATGGCAGAGTAGATCCCTTTTGTGCCTCTTAGGAGCACAAGAGAGGACAGCCACATGCCAGTACCACCTGGGTGACCAGGTAGGGCCCTCTGGGCACAGTCCTTCAGTTACCAAGGCAGGAGATCAAGTCATGAGCAGTGGCCTCCTGCTTAGTGTTGTGCTGATACCTAGTTAATGGCAGATTCTGGGAGCCTCCCTGGTGGTGCAGAGGGTAAAGCACAGCACTGTGAAGCTTTCACCAGCCACTGCACCATGAGTTCGATCCCCAGCCAGGGAGCGGGCCCACATGGCACAGCAGACCTTTCCTGTCCTGCCCCCTGCTCCCCTCAGCAGTGTGTTTCAATAGATCTGCTCCTCACTCTGTCTCCAGTACCCTCTCACCCACTGCACCTCTGGCCTGTACCCCAGCTCTTGTATGCATAAATAAATAAATCTTTTTAAAAAAAAAACAGCAGGGGCTCTCCCTGGTGGCACAATGGGTTAAGCACTGCATTAATAAGCTCTCAGAATCCACCGAAGCATGAGTTCAATCCCCGACCAGGGAGGTGACCCATATGGTGTGGCAGACCTCTCCTGATCCGCCCGCTGCTCCCCTCAGCAGTGTACTTTGTCAATCTGCCTGTTCTACTCCCCATTCTGTCTTTGATGAATCCTCTCACCCACCACAAATCTGGCCTGTACCCCAGTTCTGTAAGCATGAATAAGTAAATCTTAAAAAAATAAAAATAAATAATAAAAAAAAACAGCAGATTCTAGGTGGATTGGGGGACCTCTGATTTTCATGTTTGCCTAGTTCCATGGTCATGACTGGTTTCACCCAATTTGATGTCACTGATTGTGGATTTGGAAAGCGATTCACAGTTATACATCAGTCTGTGGTATTTCTGCCATCTACATATATGCTTTATTTCCAGTGTTTCAGTGTATGTTTGTTTACACACACTAGACTCAAAAAACTTAAAACATTGTAAATAATTAGGAAGCAGTGAATCTTGAGTATCCATTACCTTTGTTTTTAATAGTTTATTATAAAATTTAATTTTTAGGAATGATTATGTTTATTTCGGCTCACAAAATTCCTGAACATTCCAAAATTGACCTCAGAGCACTGGTACAAGCCAACTCCGGTTGCCGTGCTCCCATTGCACAGGGCCCGTGAACCCAGGGAATGAGGTGGGGCCCTTGCAGTCTTCTCAGACTCTGTCCTCCCTCCTACAGATCCTCTCCTTCATCCTGCACACGATTGTGAGAGGATTCATCCACTCTGCCATTGGAGGCCTCTATGCTGCTGTGTAAGTCCAGGGAGCTCCATTGGCCTGATGGCTGAGGGTGAGGCGATGGCCAGAGGGAGGTTCATGGTGGAACTGAGATCTGGGGGTGGAGGGACAGGTACCGGGGCTTCTGTGGAGTGTGTCAGGGGAAGGCCATACTTGGCTGCGGTGGGTCAATGAGAAGACAGTTGGGTGCCCACAAACCTTGGCATTTAACACGAAGTCAGTTCTCTGGCCACGGTCGGTGCCCTCTGCAGCTCATTCTGCTGTAGGGGCCACTGCTTCACAGGTCCCGCTGCCCAGAGGCAAATGCTGAAGTTCAAATGGGCCTCAGGGAGCGTGACATGGGTGACCGAGCCCAGGATTTATCAGCTAGTTCTCACCCAGCACCTCAGAGGGCCTCAGAGGGCCTGGTTCTGCCTTCTCAGGCCCTGGTTCTGATAAATCCTGCCTCTTGTTCCTGCATCAGGAACGCCCGTCATTCCTCCTCCTGGGGCTAGAGCTATAACCCACATACCCTCCCCTGTCTGTAATCTGTAACCCACATACCCTCCTCTGTCTCTCTGACTGAAGACCAGCTCATTCCTTGCTAGGAGCTCCTTCCTGCCTCTGGGGCAGCAGCACCTGAGGTTTTGCCAGAACTCTCTCCCTCCCAAAAGCATCCCTCGGGGGTCATTCCAGGTCTGCCTGTCCCACACATCCCCGGGCTGGAGGAAGTGGCAACTGCCCTGGCAGGGTCGAGGTAGTCGACCGGGAGCTATGATGCTGAGTTTCCGTGATTACACAATGCTCCTTTGGATAAGGGCACAGCAGTCAGGCCCAGCCTCCACCTGCTCCTGGGGCCTGTTCCTCAAGCTGCAGACTCCAGCTGGCCCTACATTTTCCACTCAGCTCAGCCAGACACCCATGACCCAGGGAATACATTGGGTAAGGTGGGGTTCTCCCTAGAATCTGGGGCCTCAGGCTGGTCTGGAAGAGAATTCATTTTGCAAAACTGCTCAGCAGAAAGTAATCCAAGGGCAGACATCCTGCTGTCTTCTGGGGCTGTACCGAGACCAGGCTGAGGCCAAGGGCATTTGGAAAGCCCGGAGAGTGGCGCCGCAGTGACAGGTTTTTAATTGCTCCGGCAGGTATCCCTCCACCCAGTTTGGCAGCCTCACGGGACTTCAGTCTCTGGTCAGTGCACTCTTCGCTCTCCTGCAGCAGCCCCTGTTTCTGGCCATGATGGGCCCCCTCCAAGGAGACCCTCTGTGGGTAAGAAGGCTCAGGGGGAGATGGGTCACAGGCATCTGCCCCTCTCTGCTGACCAGGAGTTGGGAACCATCACTCAGTGCTTTCCAGAGCCCTGAGGATGGGCAGCTTGGGAACTTGGGTTAGGGCTGACTTAGAGTCTCCTCATGAATGGTGGCAAGGCAGCAGAAGGTATATTCTGTAGAGCTGACTTTGGACTAAATAGACCAGAGTTGCTATCCCAGCTCCACCTTTGCAGATTCAGATCAGTAGGTCTGAGGTGGGGGCCCAGGCCCTGAGGGATTGCTGGGTGGCCAGGTCAACTGGGGAATTCTGAGGCTGGAATGTGGAACTGTGGCCCTTAGACTGCTCAGAACTTCCTGTTTTGTTTTTTCCTCTCTTCTCCTGTGACCCTGTCCTCTTTCCCAAACCTGAGTGTGCGGCAGGGTCTTGAGCCAGGCTCTTCGAAGACCGTAGTCCCATGCCCCACGTGACAGTGCCTTTCATCCCTGCCTCCCCAGGTGAATGTGGGGCTGCTTGGTGTGAGCATGCTGGGGTTCTGCCTCCCCCTCTACCTCATCTGGTACCGGAGCCAGCTAGAGAAGCAACTGCAGCAGAAGAGGGAAGATGACAAGCTTTTCCTCAAGCTCAACGGTTCATCTAACCAGGAGGCTTTCGTGTAGCACCCACCACCTCAAAACTGTGGCCTCTTGCCCTTGCTTTGGTGACAGACTGATGTCCTCCTCCCCAATCCAGAGGATCCTCATGCACCCCCAGAATCCTCTCCTTCACCATGGTGGAGTCCATGCTCCTCTCAGGGTCATGGTCCTGTCTTGGAGCTCTGTGGTAGAAGGACAGGAGAGGGCCCCGGCAGGTGGTTTCCCACTGCTGAGAACAGGGGCTGTCCTTGGTTTTGCTCTGCCACCCTCAAGGGGCCCTGGAGCCTTCAGGCTTCGTGATTCCCATAGGAGGAGCCAGGAGGACCCCTGGCAGGCAGGCTCTCCCCTTCAAGTGTCTGGATTCTGCCATCCACTGCCCACCACCTGCCCTTCAGCTGCATGCCCACCAGCCACACCTGCCTGAAGACAAAGGCTTGCACTGTCTGCACCCCTCGCCTGGCCCCTCACCTCCTCCCCTGGCCATTCTGAGGCGGGCGTGAGGAAGGAAGGACCCGCTTCCTGTTGTTGGTGCTAACTCCTTTGTAATCCCAGCCCCCTGTGGCCTGCTCATGGACTGCCCTCCATTAGAGGCCTGTGGAGAAGCCCCCCAACCCCCAGCTTAAAGTCTGAGGGGAGGATGTGGGCCTGGATGGCCACACACAGCTCAAGAGCCGTGGCCAAGAATGACCAAGGAGGAAGCAGGTTTCAACTACTATCCTCCACCTAGTCTGTGACCTGAAGGGCATTAAAAGGGCACCAGCAGGGCATCCCCTCACACAGATGATTTTGTGGGGGTGGAAGTGAGGTTGTGACCCACAGCTATGGAGAACCAGGGTAGTGATGTAGATTTTGTGAGGGGCCGAGGTCTATGTGTACGTGTAGGGTAGGTGTGTAGGTGTGCTGTGTGAGGTGGAGGCGTTGGGTAGGGCTTTGGGTGACTTGTCCTTCAGGAGCCAGCCAGGCCTGCAGTAGCCAGCACCCTGGAGCCAGCCTCCTCAGGGCAGGAGCTTGTCCCAGGCCACGGGGCCACAGCGCCCTCTGCTGGCCGCATCCTCCAGAACCCAGGAGCTGTTTACTTGGGAGAGGCTGTTTGCTGGTCCTCTGCGGTCCCGGCCCCCCAGCCCACCCCAGAAATGTGTCTGAGATGTCCCAGGAATGGGTTTTTTGGTTTTATGGTTTTGTTTTGTTTTTTTTTCTTTAAGTCTTACCGGTCTCCTTTTTTATAAAGCAATAAATCCATTTTCCCCCAGGGTAGGGGTTACCCCTTCTAGCTTAACAGCTACATGTGCCTGTTTGGAGGTGAAAAGACAAGATTGTCTGCCACTGACTACTCCAGTGGTAGCCAGCTGTTCCCCATCCCTCTGGATGATTGATGTTGTGGGAGCAACAGTGGACCAGGAAAAGATCTTACTCTCCCTTCTCACCCCCAAACAATTGAGCCTTTGCAGCAGTGTGGAATTAAGGGCTGCCCCCTCCCTGCTGCTCACAGGCTAGCCCTCACCCCTGTCGTCCCCTACTCAGATTTCCTGTCACTCGCCAACTACCCTGAGGGTTCCACTAGAGTTGGCGGCCATGCTCGAGCGCGCGCGCGCGCGCGCACACACACACACACACACACACACACACACACACACACACACACACGGGGTGACGAGAGCCTCAGGTCAACAACAGGGTGGATGTGGGGGTGGGGGAGAAGACAGAACAGGAAGCTGCAGACCCCAGCCCACTTCCAGCTCTACATAAACAGTTGTTCAAGAACACACCTGCTCTTCATAGGCTTTCATCCACTCAAATATTAAAAAACAAGAAATATTTGTTTTAAAGCATGCTCATGGACTTTGCAGCTCTTCAGGGAGGGTGTATAGTCTTTGAGGAGTGTTCAAGCTGAGGAGTGTTCACACAGAGCCCTCCCTGTGCCATCAAGTGACACCATCAGTGACCATCTGCCTCAGGAGCTCCTGGGTGCTTGTTAAAAGTGGCAGCTGCAAGTATTGTCTCTGAGACAGAGGCTGGGTCTTCATCTTGCTTACTTTCCATCTGATGACTCTGGTGTCCCCCACAGTTTGAGGCCCAGTGACAAAGAGAAAAACAAAGCTTGAGAAAACAGATTAGCCAAGGTCCTTCCACCTGGAGAAATATCTCAGGGCTGTAGAGACATGGCAGCCAGAGTGGGAACTGCGGCTTCTCCCCACCCACCCATCGGGTGTGGGCACTTGTGGGAAGCAGCAGGCATTGAGAAATTAGAATTCAGAGTCAACAATGTGAGCACTAGAAGCATGAGAAAGGGAGCAGGGTACCAGGTTGGTTGGATACCACCTGTACCCCCATTCTCATCAAGGGCCAGTCATTCTGCTCTAGCTGTGCAAAGTTGCCAGGTAACTTATTTTTATTATTATTTTTTTAATGCATACAAGAACTAGGATGTAGGCCAGGGGTATGAGGGGGTAAGAGGATTGCCCAAAGACAGTGGAGAGCAGAACAGGCAGATCTGAAATACATTGCTGCGGGGAGCAGTGGGTGAGACAGAACTTGTGGTTGCTGTAGATCAGCAGCCTGGCTGAGGATTGAACGCAAGCCACAGTGACTGGTGAGAGCTTGATGGGGCCGAAACTAACCCCTGCGCCGGCTGGAGGCCCACGCACTTGTCTAAAATACTGTTGCTACCAAGGTCAGTCAGCAACAATAGCCCTTAAAAGGGAAGCAAACCCAGATGTGGTCTGTTTTGGAGCCAAGCGCTCTCTCCTATAGTGGGGTAAATTCTACGGACAGTCATCCTGGCACTGGAGGCTAATAGCTTCTTGAAGTTGCAATTTTCTGGCCACCCCAAACTGAGAGGAGTGCCCTAGGAGGGTGCAGGGGCCATGGGCCAGTAAAAGGCAATGGTCACCAAGGAGCCCCAGCCCCTCTTGTCCCTCAGGCTCCTGGTAGGAAGGCCCAGGAAGGGGAGACTGGCCCTGTGCTTTCAGTGAGGAAAAGAGGTCTTTTCTCTGGGTATTCCTTTGTAGTTGACAGCCTGTAACGCTCCCAGCCTCAGCCTGCTGCTCCCACCATTTGGGCCTATGCTAGGGAAAGTTCCAGCCTTCAAAAAGGTCAAAGTTCTGACTACAGATGCCTACGGGTTCCTTTGTTCTGCGCCATCCTACCCGAAGTACCTGATGTCAGCCTGATGGAAAGAATTACTCAAGCCCTGGTCATGGCCCTGGGCAGTGCAATCTGAGGAGGGCATTACCTTCCCCTAGGTCCTCAGGACACTGAAAATGGGGGGCCATCTAGGATTATTGTGCAGGAGCATCTCCGTAGCATGAACACATTCAGTCCAGTGGGGGTTTTGATGTACTTACACATCAGCATCAGTGAATTTGAGCAGATTTGCAACTGGGATGGGTGAGAGGGTAAGGACAAGCTGTGGGCAGAGCGGAGACCTCAGGCTAAGGCGTCCCTCAAGCACCAATTATCTGGTTCTCATGGGCTCTGGGGCAGTGAGCTGCCTCTTCTGATTACTAGGGGCCCAGATCAAGGTGCTAGTCCATTTCCCCAAGTACAGATGGTAGGATTAGAAGTCCAAGATACCCCCCAGTGAGGGGGTAGGTTTTCCACAGACTGCTGCCCTCCCCTGGGATGGGCACAGGGTGTTAAGGTGAAAGGCAAGCTCTATGAGCCTGTTTCCCACTCCTGCCTCCCCACCCTGGGCTCTTGTCCTCCCGAGCCCTTGAGTGAGGAAGGAGGTATAGCATCCTCCCTGTAGGGGCCTTGCCACTCTCTACCCCACCTGTAAATAGTTATTCTCAGCCTTGTGAGCAGAGGGAGACTGCACTGGGTAGCCCCCCAGAGTGGGGCACCTCCCACTGTGCCAAGGAGGAAATGGGAGGGAGAAAAGTTAACACCCTCACCACATCCATCTCAGGGACCTGAGGCAAGTTTTGAGACTCAGTTTCCTCATCTGAAAAATGGAGGTGTTAATACCCTATGAAGCCAGGTGAGCACGTACAACACATGTACCTGGCACTTAATACAGACCTAGCAAGGGCACTGTGCTGTTTCAGTGACCCAGAGGAGTGTGGTTGGCATGGGGAACATCCCTTACAAGGCACCTCTGACCAGGATAGGCTCGTGGCCAAGTAACGGATGTGGACCTATCTTCCCTGATTCCTTCCCCTCCCAAAGCAGAGGTGCTTAAGAAGTTGTCCCCTGGTTCACTTATCGTCTATGCCTTTCACATTCTGATAGGAAACTTGGCCCAAGAACTTGAGATAATCTGATGGTGGATGCACACAGGCACCTGGCAAGCTGATACAGAGCTGGGCGAGTCAGACCATGACTAGCATATAGCACCTCCACCCCACCTCCCCCTAAAACCATGTGGCAGTGCCTCTGGGGGGGTGGGGTGTTGAAGTATGAGATGTGAGTGTGTTCAGAGGAACGTGGAAGAGCGTGTCTATGTGCCTCTATCTGGATGGAGGAGAGGGTAAGGATCTTGCCTTGTTGAATCCCTTTCCACTGCTGGAAAGATCTGGGCAGGCCCATCCAAAGAGCCAGCAGGGTCCCCCAGAGTGCCCAAGGGTTGTCTGTTCCCTGTGCTAACCAGGGTCAATACACATCACTGACAAATCAGCAGCTGACCCTGACTCTGCCCCCTCGCTGATTGCAGCACCTGGCTTACTTCCTGCCACACAGTAAGCACTCAATAAATGTATGCAGAGAATGACTAAGAACTGCTTCATCCTTGGCTCCTGCGTCTAAGTAACACATCCCTTGGCCCTTTGTCTCCTGTCCAGATTCCCTGTCACTTGTCCCAGCCGAGCTCTCTAACTCCCTCCTCTCCTGCTTGCTACCTTCACCGGGGCCCAGCTGCTCTGGTTTGGCCTGTGCTGCCTTTCGAGGAGGGGAAGAGGAACAGAATAAGGGATCTTTTGGGTTGTTGGTGAATTGTGTCTCTAAAGGAAGGGAGCTCTTCCATTTCCCTTATCTCCAGGCAAAGGGCATGACTGTGCCTCTCACAGATTTCCCATCACACTGACCTGCTCCCACCAGGCCCCTGGGCAGAGGTGGCAGGAGAGAGAACCCCTGGCTTCCCCAGAGCAGGCTCAGGGAGATCCCCCACCAAGGAAGGGGAGAGGGTGGTCCTATCCCTGTGAGTGGAGGGGGCCTGAGGCCCAGGGGGGTGCTAAGGTCTGGACAAGCAGGCCCTCTGGGCAAGGTGTGAACAGCTGGCCCACTGCACAGCAGCAAGGGAGGGAGACGCTAGGTGGGTGCGCACCGGAAACTTGTCAGGCCTGCAAACTCCAAAGCTGGGGCCTGCCACACCCCTTCCTTGTTCTCTTTCCTTGTCCTGCCTTTGAGGGAGACAGTGCAGAGAACTATTTCTCCAGTGTAAGTAGAGCCACAGCACACTTGTATCTTGCTGCTCTACAATGACACAGGGGCACTAGACCTTGATCTCTGGGCCAGGATACAGAGGGACACGCTGGCTGAGGATGGTGTCCCCAGCAGTCCCTCTCTCAGGGGGTGCAGCGGCTGCTAATTTTGACCTGGTGGGAACATAGTGTTACTGATCTTCTGAATTTTTTTAAGAGAAGCTGGAAATGTCGAGTTTTATATAAAACATCCGATTTCAAATGTTGACTCAAAGACAGTTTTTTCAAACATCATGGCTGTTCAAATAGCTTTTAACACTCTGTATGCCAAACACCTTCAGAGGTAAGGGGAGGGAGGAGGGAAAGCGCCTCCTTTGCCTCTTTGGGGTGTCCAAAGTCACTACTGTCTGCTTCTGACTCTAGCAGATGGGCCCAACCTGCTTTAGATTGAAGTCCTTCATGAGACATTTACCTTTTACCTTTCTCTCCACAGCTAGTGCATAAAGAGTGAACTCACGGGATATGCTATAGTCCAGTTTCTAGAGTGACCCATGTCCCTATTAAGGGCAGGAAATTGCCAGGGAAAGCTCAGTGCAGAGCCAGCTTGTCCTCAGGGCCTGAGTTCCCACCCATTTAGGGCCTGGCCTGACTCACACTCCTCTGCCCTGTGGGTTGAGCAGGGCAGCCCGGATCACGCATCTGCTCTTTGGTGTGGTGTTTGACTCCCCGCTAGAACAAAAGCTCCTTGAAAGCTGCCCTGCTCTGCCTTGGCCACTGTGATACAGCCAGCGCCCATAACGGTGTCGAGCATGGAAAGGCTACCCAAGAAATATTTGGAGGATGAAATTTAAAGAGAGAGAGAATGGCTGAAAAACACTTAGACAGAGGCTGGGAGGAGAACATGCTCTCCCCAGCCAGGAAGGGAAAGGGCAGAGATGGAAACTGAAACACAGTCTCGCGAGATACGTAGAGATGCGTTACAGGTGTGGCTGTGGTCAAGGGAGCAGCAAGGGCCGCCGGCCAGGACAGCCTCAGGAGGGCCTGAACCGTGAGATGCAGGGACATGAAGAAGGCATGAGAGAGAAAGCAGACAGAACAGAGAGAAGACAGATTGGAAGGAAAGGGACAGTGGCAAAGAGAAGACAAGAGAAACTGGCCAAAGTACATTATCCTGAAGAGAGTAACAAAGACTGAGACCACAGGGAAGGGGAAGTCCAGAGAAGAAAGAGGCTAGAAAGACCAAAGAGAAGAGGCAGAACCAGAGACACAGAGAGACAAAATGAAAGTGAAAATATAAAGGAACAGTAAGGGAGATAGAGGGACAGAGAGATACAGAGAAGAGTAAAAAGAGACATGGGCAGGCAGGCCCTCCCTGCGGCCGAGCAGCGTGGTAAGGCACAGCACAGCCACAGCTGCTTCAGTGCCGGTTAGACCCCCGGTCCCAGAGGTGAGACAGGAGCAGAGGTGAGGCACATGTGCAGCAGACTGTTCCTGTCTCACCTGCTGCTCCCCTCAGCAGTGTAATTCCTCGATCTGCCTGTTCTGCTCCCCACTCTGTCTCTGGTGAAGTCTCTCACCGCCTCTGCACTTCTGGCCTGTACCCCAGTTCTGTATGCACACATAAATAAATCTTTAAACAAAAGAGAAAGAAAGAGACATAGGCAAGATGAACAGAGAGACAGAAGGAAGAAGTATATACAGAGAGCAGAGAGGATGAGAGGGAGATGAACAGACAGAAGGTTGAAAGAGATGGTGAGGGAGAGAAACAAAGAGAAGGACAATGAGGGATAAATTATGTAACTCCTGAGAGTCACTTCTTTCTCTCCTTATAAGTCTGGAGCATGGAAAAGTAGTTTTTGTTTGTTTGTTTGTTTGTTTGTTTTGAATATTTTTATTTATTTAAGCATATAAAAACTAGGGTGAGGCCAGAGGTGCAGGGGGCGAGACAATTCATCAGAGACACAGTGGGGAGCAGAACAGGCAGATCGACTGAACTACACTGCTGAGGGAAGCAGCAGGGAGACAGGAGAGGTCTGCTGTGCCATGTGGGTCAGCTCTCTAGCCTGGATCTAACTCCTGCTGCACCTGGCAATAGCTTGATAGTGCTGAGACTTAACCCATGCACCACCAAGGAGTCCTGATCTCAAATATTTCTGAAAGGAGAAGAAACAAAAGTGAGGATGACAAATCCTGAATCACGGTAGTGAGGACTTGGGGTTCCTTAAGTCACACATGACTGTCCCTGCCCAAGGACACTTCACTTCAAGACCCACTCAGGCCCACCAGTATGCCCTTGACATAAACCACTAGCCAGAGGCTCTGCCCTGGCCTCTCCAGCCCCTTAAGCTCCATGTGTGTAGAATTCTGTCTCTGTGCCTTGGAGGATGCTAATTTCCCTCTAGAGATATCATTTCCTCCTCCTAGCAAGCCTGGTTCAAGTTTCCCATGTCCTGGGACGCTTTTCCAGCTGAGGACGCCACTCCTTGGACCTTCTCCAGCATTGTTCTTTGTAGAAAACTACCTCCAGTCAACTGTTAAGAGATTTCTGAAGTTCAAGGCTTCTTCATAGATTCCTCTAGAGGGGAGGCTCTCTCTCAGGTATTTAGATCATTGTTTTGCTTTTTGTGTCTCCCCAGTACCTGGTACAGCCTTCCAAACGCCACTGCCTCAATTCTTAATAATTAAGAGCCAGCTTAGCAAGAACTCCTCTAGTTATTCAGGTCTCAGTCTAAACATCGTCTCCTCTGAGTCTTCCCTGCCCACCTGACTAATGCAGCGCCACCACCCATAGTCACCCTGACAACCTCCTCATAACATTTACCATGTCTTGAACTTATTTCTGTACTTCTGCTCCTCCCCCTCACCCCATCTCCTTTGCACTGAACAAGGGAAAGATCTCGTTTTTCTTGGTTAACCGCTGTATCCTGAGTGCCTAGAAAAAGGTCTAGGACACGATCAGAAACTCAATCATTATTTATTTTAAAGATTTATTTATTTATGCATACAGAACCGGGGTGCAGGCCAGAAGTGCAGGGGTGGTGAGAGGATTCACCAGAGACAGAGTGGGGAGCAGAACAGGCCACACTGCTGAGGGGAGCAGCGGGCTGCTTGCAGTGCTGCGCTTTAACCCTCTGTGCCATCAGGGAGGGCCCACGATCAATATTTATTGAGTGAATGAATAAACATAGTTTCCCCAACTAGACTGCAAACTCCCAAAGGGCAGGGTCTCATTACTTCTTGGAGAGAGCCAGCACATGGCAATTGTTCAGTAACTATTCATTGATTAAGCTGGAGAAAAATCTACAGTCCCTATCTTGGCTAACCCCCTCTCCACCATCTGGGTGCCTGACCAGTGTAACACTGGAGTCAATATCTTCGCCTGTGCAAATCTGCCTTTCCTGGGTTCTCTTGAAAACAATACCATCTGCCAAGTTTCCCAAGCCGGAAAGGATTTCTCCTTTCCTCCCTCTTTCTCATCCTCTCAGCCAACTATTTGTCAATAACTCTTGCTGATTTTATCCCTGTATTGCTGCTGAATCCATTACTTTTTTCCCCCTTCCCAGGCACTATCCTAGTCTACCTCTGCTTGGGTTTCTGTAGAAGTTTCCACTTGCCTACCTACCTGTGACTCTGGCCCTTCCATCTCCTCTTTCTCCAGTGCTCACACAACTTTATTTTTTTTCTAAGGACTTTATGCATACAAGAACTGGGGAGTGTAGGCTAGGCCAGAGGGGCGTGTGTGTGAGGGGATTCACCAGAGACAGAGTGGGAAGCAGATATACACTGCTGAGGGAAGCAGCGGGGTGGGACAGGAGAGGTCTGCTGCACCCTGTGTGGGTCAGTTCCCTGGCCAGGGATCAACTCATGCACCAGCAGCAGTTAGTTTAGCTTAATAGCGCTGAGACTTAAGCCCTGCACCACCAGGGAGGTCCAGATACTTTTAAAAACTTTTCCATGCCCACCATACCCTTAGGATAAACTCCAAACACCTGTCAGTCACCTGCCAGCCCTCTCTCCTCCTCCTCCTTCCCCAGCCCCCATGCAAAACTTCAGCTGCTCCACTGTCCCCAAAGTTCATGCTCCAGTCATTCCTCTTCATTGCTGTCTTGCACTTGTTTTTTGCCTTCAGCTTTAGCTTGCACTCTGCTCCTCCTCTACATCTCACTTCAGAACTTCTTCCTCCTGGATGTCTCCTCTGACAACACACCTTCCAGTGAACATCAAACCTGTAATTTCACCCCTCTGATCCCATTTCATTTTATTGGCCTAGTTCTAGCCCCTTCACCCACCCACCCAACTGAAACCAGAGTTCCGTAAAGACTAGATCTTATCTGTTCATCCTCTCAACAAAAGCACTGGTTTAGGTACACAGAAAGCCCTTAGCAAATAGTTATTAAATGACTGAGTTTATACTAAGAGTGCAGGGTGAAAATCGGGCGCTGACACATCACATGCTAGTTTTGGGGATGCTCAAGTCTCAACTTCTGCCTCCTTCCCTCCTCTCTGAACTCAGACAATAACAGCGCCTTCCCGAGAGCGTTATCGCGAGGAGTCTAGCGCTTAGAAGAGCATTTGCAGGTAACTTTGGCTATTTTGGACACAATCTTATTCTAGATTCTAGCCCACCTCCCCGGGGAGGCCCAAGGGTCTAAGTACATCTGTTCTCTTGCACAAAACTAGTCCCGAGGACCCTTGACAATCGACAGGCGGACGACGTAGGCGCCGACTACAACCTAATCGCCACGCACACTCGGGTCCACCCAGACGCCGACGCCCGGGTCAAGGCCCGTTTAAGAAGAGAAGGGGCGGGCCCGACAAGACTCCACCCCCGAGTGAGGTCAGCGCGCACGGCGGCGTGTGACGCTCTGGTTGCCGCAGAGACGCCCCGCCCCCGCGCGGCGCTGCGGAACCGGAGCTCCGGGCGGCGTCGGCAGCGGGAGGGAGGCGGTGAGGCCGGGGCGGCAGGAGCCGGTGCAGTGACCGCAGCGAGAGCGGTGGGGACGGAGCAGGCCACGACGAAGGCGCACAGGCCGCCGGGCCGGGCCGGGCCACGGGAAGAGCGGCCGCCGGGAAGCGGGCGGGAGGCCGAGCGGGCAGCGGGCAGCCGCCGAGCCGCGAAGCGACATGGTGCTGCTAAAGGAGTAGTGAGTGCCCACCGTCCCTGCGGAAGCGAGGAGGAGGGAGGGTCGGGGATGACGACCGAGGAGGCTGACGGCCTGGCGGAGGGGATGCAGCGGCAGGACGGGACCCGAGGGGGTGGGGAGCGCTGCACGAGCTGTTGGCGGCCCAACAGAGGCTGAGGGGACAGTGGGGCCGGATAGGGCCTGAGGAGGGTGGGCAGAGTGGCTGAGAGCCAGACAGCACCCGCGGTGGGGCCCGAGGACCGAATATTCCGGAAGAGGCCAAGGTGGGCAACGAGGGCCGAACAGGGCCTGAGGTGGGGTCAAAGGGACAGTGAGAACGGACAGGGTATGAGGAGGGACTGCGGGGCCCGAGAGCACTGGGTGAGACGTGGGTGGTCCTCCAGGCTGGCCGAGAGTCGCAGGAGCCAGCCGGAACTGCGGGAGCGCCGGCAGCACCGCGAAAGGGAGGAGTTGTCTGAGGGGCTGAAGAGCTGTTAGACAAGGGCATGCAGGGCCGGTGGAGCTGTCAGTGATGCTGGGAGGGGTTTGGGGCCGAACTGCAGAAGAGCAGATGAAACGCTTCAGAAAAGGAGTAGAGAGGAGAGGGAGGAGTGCCGAGGGGAGCCTGGGGTGTGAGGAGTGGCCTTCTTGAGCATGGGAATCCTAATCAATGGGTGCAGGGAAAGGCCGGGCTAGTCAGGGCCAGGCTTGGTGGCGTGTCTCCGGACATAGTAGAGGGCACTGGTGGTGGGACTTGGTGCCCAGATGGTAGGCGTTTAAGGGAGGGAGTGTTTGGAAAAGCCTAGAATGTTTGCTTGGGACTTCCATGAGGGGTCCAGAAAAGACTGGGCAGGGGCGGAGTGATACGAGGGAGTTATGGTGAAGGAGAGACTCGTTTGTTACCAGAGTAGAGGACAGACTGAAAAGCGTGTGTTGGTGAATGAACATATTGTTGTAGTGGGAATGGGGGGGCAGTCTCAGTTTTGCTGCAAAGAGATGGGGAAATTGCTTTGAGGAGGTTTCCATAAACCTCCTCAAATTGAGGGGAGTTATTTAGTAGTGAGTGGGGGGGTGGAAAACTGATGACTTCTGGCAGGAGTGGCAGGAAGATGGGCTTGCTCCTGAAATCCAGAGGAGTGGATGACAGGTGGGAATGTTTACTTTGCTAAATTTTCAAATACAAGATGACCCATCTCTGAAACTTTTGGTACCAAGTCAACATCTCCCAACTCTTTTTTTCCTTCAATGTGGGATGAGTGGATGGGTGCTTAGAATTTACAGTGAATCTGTGCTTCCTTGGAGGAGAAGGCAGGTTGGTCAGGATTGGCACAGAAGGCCCAGAAGTCCAGAAGGAGGAGATAAGTAGAAAGCAACTGGTAGAACTTACTTGAGAGCTAGGCAAGGGCTAGCTATGGTGGGCTGTCTCCACGTTTCAGTGATGGTGCTTTACCCCATCCTCGTTATCTTGCTCCCCGGAAGGGTCTAGGACATTTAGGACATAGTGTGGAGCTTTGTGTAGCAAAGGGAGCAGTGTGTCATCGCAGCTTGGCACCTCATCTGAAAAGTGGTATTTTAGGACCCCTCCCCCCTCTCTTTCTGGACTTCCAGTCTGATGTTGGTCCAGTCAGAATCAAGAGCATTTTGTGGTCGGGAGGAAGGTTCTTGGAATGCCTTCTGGAAGAGAGTCTGATGCACTTGTGTTTTAATCTTGAACGTCCAGCAACAGACTTTCCCCATTCTGCTGATTCTTTTTTCTTTTGATTTCTTCTTTTATTGGAACTTAAATTTACTTAATTGCAAATTAGGTGCCTGTAGTTTTGTGAAGGAGGCCAGATAGGGAAGGAAAGTGACTTTGAGAAAAATTCTGAGCTTTGAAGAAAAGTCCTCTCCTCTTACTCCTTGTCTTCTGCTTAAAGCCTGCCAGGGAATGGTCCAGGGTGCTAGGAAGCAGAATCTGTCTGGGATCTGTTTCCTTTCTTAATAGTACCCGGTGTGTGATGGGCTCATGTGTCCATCCCTGGGTGGGGGATGCAAAAGGGGGCATCTGAGGTCCTTGGCTGTGGCTGTAGCGCTGCAGCTCTGGGAAGGGTGCAAGTGAAGGTCACACCGAAGTGAGCACAGCTCCAGTCTCAGTCCCAACACTGCCTCTGTGGCCCTGGCCTTTGGACTTGCACCTTACTGCTGTTGAAGTGGGTTTGCTCCCAGGGAGCCAGGAGAAAGGACCTGGTGTATGCCTTTCATGTAAGTAGTATCAGAGCATCCTGTCAGGAACTGGCTGATACCAGTCTCTGGAGAGCAGAGGTGGTGCCCACCCAGGATCTAAAGGTTGCCTCTATTGACTTTTCTAACACTTCCTCTAACAGCATTCTTAATTTGATTTCTGCAAATTCTTGGATGTTGGATGTGGTTGTTGCTGCCGCTATTGAAGATAAAAGGCTTATTGTTTTCTAGGAAGTTTCTTCTGAGGGTGCAGAAATTCTGGCCTCCAAGTTGGAAGTATTTTTCTGCACCATCGGCTTTCTCTAATGGAAGGAGAGTGTTAGTGGCAGGTCCAATAACCTGCAGGATTTACGTTATTTGAGTCCTTCTGGAGGAGGGGAGTTAAGCAGGCAGTAAAGACTTGGGGGCCCATTTTTTCCCCTGCTACTTTCCTCCTTGATGCCATGCCTTTAGTGCGATGTTTTTCTCAGACCCCTCCCTGTGCTGCTTGCTACCTAGCTCACTTTTGTGGAACTAAGAAAATAGTGAGCAGACTGTTTACCAGCTAGGATAAGATTGGTGGAAGCTCTGCATAGGAAGGAGAGTGTAGCTGCTCTTGCTCTCCTGAACACGCAAGATGCTGAAGGTGCTCACGGAGTCCAGCCTGGAGTGTGGGAACTGAAACTCTAAACCTGGAAGTTGCCTTGATTTGTATGAATATAAACATGCATTTTTGTCTCAGCTCTCTGACCTCACATCCTTGAACTGGGGGTCCCTGTTGTGCTTTGTTCCACATGCAAGCCACCAGCCCTTGTACCTCCATGGCGGTCTGACTAGTGAGCTGATCAGGGCCTCTCTCTCAGGTTATTGGTGGAACCTCCCACAATCAGTGGTCATTGAAATGGAGAAGGAAAGGAAATCGATCAGTTGCGTCTTCAGACAGCCTCTGGGGCTCAGGACCCAAGTTCCCGTTTTCTTTCATTGTGACTTTGTAGCAGTAGCTGGCAATTGTAATTTCCTACAATTGTAATTTCCTACATGAGAACAGAGGTAGTCCTGTGTGTACTCTTAGGGTGATTAAATTGCCTTCAAGTCTTTCACCTTGAGGGTTCCTGTCAGGAGTTGGACATGCTCCAGGGCCTCATGGTTTGGATCTCAATCCTCATCTTGGTTTCATAGTTGGTATGTGTGGTTTACTAGACTCATTGATAAGTTTTGTTGAGGGTGATGCTAGTGGGGGAGAAGAAGACGACTTCTGTTCCAAGCCTGGGAAATAGCTGGTGGGGGAGCAGGTTTGCACAGAATCATGTGATTCTAGTTGGGTTACCAGAAGAGTACAGAGGGTCCTAGCCTCAAGTCGCTAAAGGGCTCTTCTCTGCTGGTCTTGATAGTGATGTAATGTCAGATGCAACAAAATATTTCCCACTATTCTGAAATGATGCTTTCAGAGCCTTGGGAAGATTTCAGAACCTGAGTTGATACTGTTTTCCTTCTCTCCTAGTCGAGTTATCCTGCCTGTGTCTGTAGATGAGGTAAGTGCTTCCTTCCCTTTTATCCATAGTTGTATATAATTGTTTGTGATCATTAGCTAAATTGGGCTCCGAGAATCCATGACTCTTTCTATAATTTTCATATTTGTTTTGATGTAGATAGTACTCCAGGTGAATTTTCCCAGTGCCACTTTCAGCTGATGAAAGACACCTATTTTGTAGACCCAGGCAGCTGTGTGCCTCAAGCTGTTGGCATGCTCAGTGCTGAATAGAGAATTAACCATCCCCTTTTACCTGCTGGGACTGTGCCTATCTGAGGACATGTTATTGAGAGAATCAAGTGTGTACATTTCTGGGCCCTCCACGACTTGGCTGGGAAGTGTGTGTGTTTCCCTCTGGTTGTGCAACAAGCTAGCAGGGCAGGAAATCTCTAAGGCCCTCCCTAGCCACACTCTGGGTGACTGCTGGGAAGACCAAGACCCAGAACCTCCTTTTACGGAGGACAGGGAATAACAAATGGGCTTGACTTGCCCTCTGTCCTTTTATGGTTCCTGAGCCTGGTATCCCTGTGGATGGGATCTGGCAGGATTCGCCACAAGGCTTATAGGCCCTGCTGACTCAGAGTTAGTCCCTCGGACAGAGAAAACTGTTGCGGAGCTCCCCTTGTCCCACCCTTTCTCTGAACCTCTTCCACTCTCCACAGCCTTGTTCTTTGCTTCCTTCTGAATCCACAGGGCTCCGAGCTACCAGTTCAGCTCGAGGTGGGGTGATGTTTGTCAGCCAGCATAGTGTCCTCAGTCTCTCTTTCCTGTCGTGTCAGCATGAAGTTCCTCTGATAACTTCTACTCTGTTCCAAATATGAAATGGACCATTGAAAAATGAAATCAGGCCAACAGAGCCTGCAGTACACTTCACATATCCAGGCTTTTTGCCCCCAGAAGGGATGGGCTGGCATCAGCCCCAGAGGATTGTCTCCTGTGGTAGGTTGCCATCTGATAAGTGCTATGGAGACCTGGGGGAAGGAGCCAGTGGCGGGCCTCAAACATGATGTGGGAGTTCTGAGAAAAAGACTGAGGAAGTTTAGGAAAGAGAAATGGCTGGGTCGATGCTCTGATCCCTGGATGCACCTGAGATGTACCTAAGGCCCAGAAATCATGTGTTAGGACTGGCATTTGTCATGCTGGCTTGGAGCAGCCTGTTAACCCATAGGGGACTTGTTTTTTTTTTTTTAATTTTGTACAAATTAGATCCATTTCTTTTATTTATTTATTTTAAAGGATTTATTTATTCACATATACAAGAACTGGGGTACAGGCCAGAGGTGCGGGGGTGAGAAAATTCACCAGAGACAGAGTAGGGAGCAGAATAGACAGAGTGAAGTACACTGCTGAGGGGAGCAGTGGGCAGGACAAGAGAGGTCTGCCACACCATGTTGGTCGCCTCCCTGGCTGGGGATCTAACTCGTGTTACTGGTGGCTGCTGATAGCTTCATAGTGCTGTGCTTTTAACCCATTGTGCCCTGGGACCTGCTTTTTTTATGAAAAATGGCAAGTGATGATTTTTCAAAACAAGAAGCCAAATGGGAAGACCCAGCATGCTCCTTGCCCTGAAATTCATGCTCTGTACAGCGTTCTCTGCTGTACACAGTGATCCCCCCCTCCACTCCAGTCAGGAAGGATGTGTTCCAGGAACACGGTGATCCCTCACTGTGGTGGCTAGGGGTGAAATGGGTTGTTTTCAGTTTCTTTATGTACTGAAGACTGTCTCTGGAAAGTGCTATAGACCCAAGGAGGGCCAGCATGGTCTGGGAACATCTCCTGGCCATTCTGCAGGAAGGCTAGAGGGACCCAAACACTGTTTATTATGGTGGGGTCCCAGAATGGGAAGGGGAACTTACCTTGAGGGTATCTGCAATTGGTGCTTTTTAACTAGTGACTTTCTTTATTTTAAGCATTGAGGAAGTGGTGGGACAGGGCCAACAGGGCCTAATGTCTAAGCAAAAACTTGGAAAATGAGCACTGGGTAGGGTTCTTCTGTCTTCTTGGTGGCAGTTAACCCATTCTTAGCTAAAAACCACTGAGGAGAAAGTGATACATGACCTGGTGGGGGTTAAAGTAAGAACTGCTCTTTTGAATTCTTGGTCAGAGTTCTAGAAGGTCAGAAAATCTTGAATGGGGAGATTAGAAGAAGCAAGTGATGGTCAGCCTTTTAAGAACCTTTATCTATACCCCATCCTGACTCACTGTTCCCTTGGGAACTGCCCAGCATCATATGACTATGGGATTCCTAGTTGGAGGCCATGATATCAGATTCTCAGAGTTTTCTGATTTGAGGGAAAGGAAGGAGGAAAAGCAAAAGAGAAGGCCATGTCTTTATAACACTCCTGAAGGCCCAAATCAATGTTTTGGCCTCAGAATTCACTCATCCCGCACTGGATTTCTCGAGATTCTGCAGCAGAGCAAGAAAACCCTAGCTGCTTGACATGGGCGTGTCCGTCATTGATTCCTGGCTCAGGTCAGCCACACCCTTTCCCCCATCCTCTACTGTGAGCAAGCTGTTTTACTTCTCATTTGCAGGGGTGATGGCCCTGTTCCCTGATGGTACCCATCCTGGCAAGACCATGTAGGTAGGGCCAACAGCTGTGCTGCTTTCGGTAATCTGTTTCCCTCAGTGTTTCAGACCTGCCAACTATGTCTTCCTGGACTCCCACTCCCAGGTTGCCAAAACGGTGGGCTCTGTTTTTCATAGCTGAGTGTTTTAGTTCTCTGGGACAACGGGACATGTCTCAAAGCAGGGAATGTTGTCCGAGGCCTGAGGCAGCTGGAGCCCCGGTCTGCTTGGGGCTCTTTGCCTCTTGAAATGTTCTGGCTCCCACCCCACCCCTCCACACTCTATCCCACCTGAGTCTGGCTGCTTGTTGCTTTCCTAGGTGCAGATCCTCTAGGCCAAGCGGAGCCCTCTGACAGGAAGTGTCCCTCACTTGTAGCCCACAGAGACCAGTCTTATTTATCCCTTTGGATTAATAAAACTGCCTTCACTTGTCTCATTGGGATTAAAGGATCAGAATATCAAGAGAGATTAGAGGGAAGATGCCAGCCCAACAGCCTGATCCTCTTAGAGCCTGCCCTCTGATGCCTTAGCGGAGCAAATGAAGGGGATTAGTCTCTGCCTGGGGCCCTTTCCCAAGCAGTCCCACCAGCCAGCAGCCCAGTCCCTCCAGGGCCAGGGCTCTTTCCTTTGCCTGTCCTTTCGGACTGCTGAGTCAGTGGCTAGATGTTCCTGCGACTCTTCTCTGAAACAGATCACTGCTCCTCCTCAGGAACCCGCTCAGCTAAACCCTGACCCACTTGAAAGAGGTTTCCATGTGTGCTACAGTTAGGGAGTGGACTGAGAAAGGCACAGGGACAGCTTGGGGTTCCGTGGGGGCCTTGAGACAGCATTGATGTTGCTCTGACTAACAAGGTCAAGGTGCCAGGCTTTCACCCAGGTGTTCTCTTTATGGGCTTAACTGAATCCTAATAATGTGCAAGGGCCATTTCTTGGCATTTTGTATTGGGATTTTGCTTTGAATGTTAGGGCTCTTTCTGATTTGTGGTAAACATTGACATGTTCTGGTCTGCTACTTCACCTTCTAGACTTCACCCAGTAGTGCTTAGGAACCTGCCCAGGTTTAGACTCCCAGGTTTGAGGTGCAGCAGCCATAGAAGATGCCTCTCTCTCTCCTCTTGCAGGCAGTGGTTTAAGTAGCAGCTACCCAGAAATGTAGCCTCTGTGTTTTAATCTCAGAGAGAAAAACCCATATCTTACATTCCTGGTAAGTACCAGGAGTTTGAGGAGGGGGCATAGAGGTTGAGGAAAACCTATATTTACACCCCCCTACCCCCAATATGTAACTTGGTAATCAAGTACCTTTCTCTCATACTCCACAAGTTATGCCTGGTTGGCATTAGCAGTGATAGATAGAGAAGATAACATCCTCTGGTATAGACGTAACTTCCTGCACTATTGCTTCTTACTCTTTTTTCATACTTTTTTTTCCCCTTTGGACAGCTTCCCTCAGAGAGAAGAAGGCAAAAGAGCCAGGCCCAGGTCATTGGCCCTTATACTGAGTTGTCCTGAGGGGGTCAGAGGAGGCCAGTGATCTTGACTGGTGACTTGATAGGGTGGCATGTGACCCAAATAAAGGAAAACCAAACTTTTGCCATCTAGTCATTGCCAAAACAGAGGGTGCTTCCAGCCAGCACAGACTGTGGGGTAGGAAGCTGTGCTCTTTCACAGGAAACAGGGCAGTTGCTTCAGCCCCACCAGAATTTTAGAAAACATTGAGAGGTTTGTTTGCCCACAAGACTGTTCTCCAAGCTTCTGGCAAGGTGAGGAAGGGCGCAACACTAAAGAAGAAGCTTTATATAGCAGAGTTGTGGATTTTATAGTGCCCTGGGAATGTCATGTCCTATAATCTGCTTAAATAAATGGTATAAAGAGACAGCTGGCAGCCAACTCAGACCTTATTTTGGAATTTTATTTTCTTTAAGATTTATTTATTTATGCATATTAAAAGCAGGCCAGAAGTGCAGGGGTATTCACCAGAGACAGAGTGGGGAGCAGAACAGGCAAGTCTGTTGAAGTACACTGCTGAGGGGAGCAGCGGGGAGAGGCCTGTTTCGCCATATGTGGGTCAGCTCCCTGGCAGGGGATCGAGCTTGTGCTGTAGTGTCTGTAGATAGCTTCATAGTGCTGTGATTTAACCCCTTGCACCACCAGGGAGGCCCCCTGTTTTGGGGTTTTAATACCAGGGGCAGATCCAGAGTAAACTACTGTGGAGTCTAGAATCCATTTTCTGGATGGTGACATGAGGTTCAGTATGTGCACCTGCCTCCTTGAGTCTTGATGGATGATGTGCAAGTGAGAAGGATGAAATTAAATGCATTGGAGACTTAAGAGAGCCCATGGAGCAGCATACTCAGTTTCTTTGAGTGAATTTGGCTGAGGCCCGTGTGAGACTTGAGAATGAATTCCCGGATGAGGGCATCCCAGAGGGTTATAATTGGACAATTATTGGCAGCTATGTGTAACTGTTGAGAAGAGTCTGCATTGACAATAACTCCCATCTCTCTCTTCCTTTAGTATCAGGTAGGGCAGTTGTATTCTGTGGCTGAGGCCAGCAAAAATGAAACAGGTGGTGGTGAAGGCGTGGAGGTCCTGGTGAATGAACCTTATGAGAAGGACGGTGAGAAAGGCCAGTACACTCACAAGATCTACCACTTACAGAGGTATGTGACTGCACAGGAGAGCCGGGAGGCGGCCTGGTTTTGAAGTGGAGATAATGGATAATTGGGGGTGTTTCCAGGTTGTTAGCTGGTTGTTCAGGTTGCTTCACCTGTGAGAGTGGGTGTGGTACTTCTTTACTTATTTAAAGGTCTATTATATATATTTATGTAAATGGAAGTAATACTGGCCACACCAGGCTCCTAGTCCCCAGAGGTGATAGGGTTTAGTTTCTTGTGGGCCCTTTTATTGTCTGTGAATATGAAGTACAGAGGATGTGGATAAGTGGGTGTTTATCTCCTTTGTTATTATCTGACATAGATGGGGTCATTTTTCCATACTGTTCTTGTCTTTGTTCTTTTGTGACTTATCGTATCATAGCTGTCTTTCATTGTCAGCGTATTTGGCCTCATTCTTTTCAAGTACAACATTGTAATATGTTGTATAGATGTGCTGTAAGTTGTTTTACCAGTCCTCTCTTGATGTATGTCTACTGTCATTTCCAGATGTTTCCATACTGTACTCCAGTAAAATGTCTTCTGTGCAAGTATTGTGAAGTACCCCTGTATAAATCTATAATACTTGTTCATTTTTATAAATGTGGAATTTCTGGGTCAGGTATTGTTTTAAATTCTAATGTTGCAAAGTCAGCCACCTAGGAAATTTTGGTATACCTCTTTGAATCAAATGCAAAAATATTTAAAAATGGAGTTTGAACTGATTTGTGTACCAAAATCCACAGCAAATCACACAAATTTGTTGAATTTTTAAATCAAAACAATAATATTTTGTAAGCTGTGAGTGGACCCAAAGGCACAAAATTAAGCTGTGGGAAACATATGGAAGCTTGGATGGAAGTTGAACCAAGCTAGTTTAGAAACCAAGATAGTTATAGAAACTACACAGAACTAGAAAAAATAATTACATTTTTCAAATTGTGGTAAAATAAACATTATGTTACATAAAGTACACCATTTTTACCATTCTGTATTAAATACATTGATATTGCTATAAAACTTGAACTTGGATTTTTTAAAAAAAGATTTATTTATACATGCATGCATGCATAGAAGAACTGGGGTATAGGCCGGAGTGCAAGGGGTGAGAGGATTCACCATAGTCAGGAGGGAGCAGAGAAGGCAGATTGATGAAGTACACTGCTGAGGGGAGCAGCAGGTGGGACAGCAGAGGTCTGCTGTGCCATGTGGGTTAACTCCTTGGCCGAAGATTGAACTCAGGCCATGATGGTGATAGTGTTGATACTTAACCTCTAGGCCACCAGGGAGGCCCTTGAACCTGAATCTTAATTTCTAGTCACTGAAAATGAAGTGACTAGAAACTTGGTAAAATACTGGTTCAGTGCCACCTGCCATTGTTGAGATGTTAAAGTGCTTGCACAGATGAGTACAGGATTCTGTGAGAGCTGGGGCCAGGAGGAAAGCAGCTCTGGGTTTTGGGGGAGGGAAGTTTCACCACTGTCCTGTCTCCTTGCCAGAGTGCTCTTTTTTTTCCATCCTGCCCCTTTGGCCTCCTCCATCTCTACTATGAGTTGATAGCCAACCACCAACCCTTACTGAGCCATTCACAGTTGATCTAGGGCTCAAGATGTACCTTCCTCATGGTATGTTTGTATTTTTAGAGAGACTTTGAAAAGAGAGAGCGAGGTTGGTAGAAGGAGCTGATTGTTTTCTCAAGACTCAGCTGGTCAACCAAAGTGGCAGGGAGCTCTGTGCAGATGGAGGGTGAAACCGTCTTACCTTCCTCATAAGAGAGGATGTAATCTTTGAGCTAATGCCACCCCTACTCTCCTTTAATATTAAAAGACCCAACTCCAAAAAAACCCTAAAACCAAAATACCACAGAGCTGAATGCCACCACCATCTCTCCTTACCTGACCAGCAGCCATCTAACTGGTTTCTGTTGGAAACACAGGCCCCCACCACCCTGCCCCTCATTTCACATAGCACATCAGATTTTCTTTTGACTCCACTTCCTCAGTATCTCCTTTTCAATTTAGTTCTGTCATCTTTTGGCTGGATCACGGCAGCAGCTCCTAACTGGTCTTCTTGTATTTCAGTTCTCTCCACAGCTTCAGAGCTTTTGTCCTGAAGGCAGAAAAATTGTTCTCTGTTTTAAAGTTCTAGGCAACTTCCTTAGGGCCTCAGGATACTGGCTTTACCCTTTACCACCCAGTCAGTTCGCTGTATTTTCAACCTATTCATAACTAGCTACTCTGCACTGTTCTCTCTCCCCTGCCCCTCATCTTTCCCGCCCCTTGCCCATCTATTGTCTGGTTTAGTCCTCGCTCTCCCTGAGGAGCCGTCCCTGGGCACAGCGCCTTCTGCACTGTGTTTTCACAGTGCTCTGCCCTCTCTCAGAGTCCTGTGCTCACTCATGTGACATGTGCTGACAGTGTCATCTTCCTAGCTAGTTAAATTCCTCTTATTAGACTGTAAACTTCTGAGGGCAAGAGCCACAACTGTGGTTTCTGACTGTCTTACTGTGCCTGGCACATGGAAGTATTTAAAAGTGAGTGTGGCAATGACTGAATTACAGATAATTACTCTGAGGACTCTTGGTCTTTTTTCTTAGACCTCAGGCACTAAAGCTGATGAAATTACTGGAGCCTCCTAGTTTGCATAGATTATCAGCTTAAAAACTAAGGAAAAGGGTTATATGTACCTTTTTTTTTTAAGATTTATTTTATTTTTTTATGCATTACAAGAACTGGGGTGTAGGCCAGAGGTGGAAGCAGTGAGAGAATTCACCAGAGATTCAGTGGGATCTATTGAAGTACACTGCTGAGGGGACCAGCAGGTGAGATAGGAGAGGTCTGCTGTGCTATGTGGGTCAGCTCCCTTGCCAGGATCGAACTCTTGCTGCAGTGGCCAGCAATAGCTTGATAGATAGCACTGAGACTTTAACCCCTGAGCCACCAGGGAAGCCCTATATGTACTTAAAAAAAAAAAAAGGGCACATACTGAGATAACTAAAAAAGTTATTATCTTGTTCCATAATCTGAGATAATAACTAAAAAAGTTATTATTTTGTTCTGAGAGGTGGATACCCTGAGGACCTCCTGGCCTCTCAGAATTGATTATCTTGGAGCCCATATTCCAAATTAGTCAGCTCACACTGGTCTGCAAACTCAGGCTGGTACCCCCTTGGAAGTATCTCATCTCTGTAGTATGTAATATCATTCCTGGGCCTAGTGAGCGCTGGAGAAATGTGTAATAACAGTGTAATAACTGACCTGCTGGCCTGTACCTAGTGGGAGGTGTGGTAGTTTGTGGGGGTGGATTGTCAGCCAGCCAAGCTGGGTGTCAGGCTCTGATGGCTGTCTTCTCACACCCAGGAGTGAAGTGCTTATCTCATGAAATTTGCTTGTCACCTCCTCACTGAAGAAGATGTAAAAGTGCATTGTCCTCTAACTCTTCTCTTTCTCTTCATTAGCAAAGTCCCCACATTTGTTCGAATGCTGGCCCCAGAGGGAGCCTTGAATATCCATGAAAAAGCATGGAATGCCTATCCTTATTGCAGAACTGGTGAGTACAGACCCACTAGAAGCTGGAGGTGGGCCCCCAGATTGATGAAGGATATGGTCAAATAGGTCCAGGGATAGGGGTTTTGTGCCCACCTTCAATTTCCAGATTAGCCAATGGAAGGATGAGCCGTGGGACTTCCTGCCGGTGGTCAGTCTTGTGGAGTACCATCGGACAGCAGCTGGGTAGCCCCCAAGTAGTCATGGCCCAGGACAGCATAGAACTAACTGCTCTCACTTGGGGGTTGTATGATAATTTCTATTGTTTTTACTAATTACAAAAGCAATGTTTTCTGTGTAAATGTGATAGAAGGAAATAACCATCCATGATTCTTCCATCCCTTGCTGGTCACTGCTAATATTTTGGATCATATGTTCAGAAGTGGAGGACTTTTTCCTTATTACTATGTGACTGACCATGTTTTAAAAATGTGTAATGGTTGCTTAGTACCCTACTGTATAAATGTACTATGATTTTTTTTTAAAAGATTTATTTATTTATTCGTACAGAACTGGGGTACAGGCCAGATATGCGGAGGGTGAGAGGATTCACCAGAGACAGAGCAGGGAGCAGAACAGGCAGATCGACGAAGTATACTGCTGAGGGGAGCAGCGGGCTGGTCAGGAGAGGTCTGCCGCGCCACGTGGATCTCCTCCGGGGCAGGCGGGGATCGAACTCATGTGGAAGTGGCTTAAGTTTCTTTGTGCTGTGCTTTAACCTGCTGTGCCACCGCACTATGATATTTTTTTAAAGATTTATTTATTTATGCATATAGAACTGGGTACAGGCCACAGGTGCAGGGGCAGTAAGAGGATTCACCAGAGACAGAGTGGGGAGCAGAACAGGCCAACTGACGAAGTACACTGCTGAGGGGAGCAGCGGGCGGGTTAGGAGAGGTCTGCCACACCTTGTGGATCACCTCCGGGGTGGGGATCAAACTCATGCAGAAGTGGCTTTAGCTTTTTAGTGCTGTGCTTTAACCTGCTGCGCCAACACGGAGGGTCATGCACTGTGATCTTTTAAAATCACTTCCTTATTAGATACTGAAATTTCTATTTTTTTTCTTTTTCTTTTTCTTTTTTTTGCATAGAACTGAGGTACAGGCTAGCAGTATGGGGGGTGAGAGGATTCACCAGAGACAGAGTGTGGAGCAGAGCAAGAAGATCCACTGACATACACTGCTGAAGGGAGCAGCAGGAAAGACAGGAGAGGTCTGCCGCACCACATGTGGGTCAGCTCCCTGGGAGGGAATTGAACTCAGGCCCTAGCGGTAACAGCACTGAGACTTAACCCCTAGGCCACAAAGGAGGACTTTTTTTTTAATTTCTGTAGTTTTAATATGGTATACTTATTTATGTTTGGCTTGAAAACTATAGTTCCAACCTAGGGACTCTTGAGAGATGCAGTTGTAGGAAAGGGCCCAGGGGGTGACTTTTCTGCCCTGGAGACGAGCCAGATCAGACACCAAAAGAGGTAGCAAAGGCAACACTGGTATTGTTGGAGGAAAGTGAAAATACACCCAAGTTTTTATGATAAAGGATTTAGAAACAGCTGTCCCCCAAATGTTAGATAGCTCATGGAAGTATGAGAATATGCCAGATTTGGAGTGTGGGAGGATAAGGTGTCAGAACTAATAAGAGCTTGGAATTAATTGATGACTTATGCTAAAGCTGAAGGTGGGAGTCAGGTGGAATTTTCTTAATCTTGGCCAAACTTTTATTCAGAGTTTCTAGAAGGCTTCTCTGGTGGCACAGGGGTTAAATTCTCAGAGCTATCAAGCTATCACCTGCCACTGTTTGATCCCGGGCCAGGGAGGTGACCCACATGGCGCAGCAGACCTCTCCTGTCTCACCAGCTGCTCCCTTCAGCAGTGTATTTCAGTAGATCCACTTGTTCTGCTCCCTACTCCCCTACTCTGTCTCTGGTGAATCCTCTCTTTTTTAAAGAAAGAATTGGCTCTCCACAGAGGATTTTCTGTTCTAGACATTCTGGGGTACGTTTTGAATAGTTCAGACTCTAACTACTTTTTCAGCATTCCTAGGTCTTGAGGGCCATAGGAATAGCACTCTTGGAGGGCCCATCCTGGTGCTGGAATACCTTAGAGGCTCCCTAGAGGCCTCCTGGCTCTTGTCCGTGAGCTGAGGGGCCATTTCCCCAGCCATTCTGCATCTGTTCACACAGACTCTCCGGTGATGGGCTTCTTGTGCCAGCCTCTGCTAACGTGGATGTTGTAGTCACTGTATTTATGGGGTCCTGGCATTCCCTGTATTTTATCTGATGAAGATACTCTACCCATGTGGTCCTTTTCCTGTGGACTTTGGGAATGACTAATGTCTAGAGCAGAGAGTTATTGCTGTCCCATCCTCAGTAGCCCTACTTGAGTTCAAAAGCCTGGTATCAGGATATGAGTAATCATTGGTGGAACCTGGGGTGTGTCACTTAAAACTTTTATGACAGTGGCTGAAAATACAATCACTAGTCCCTAAGCAACAGGCAGGAAGCTGTTGACTTCTTGGAAAGGAGGCACACTCACATTTTCTTAAGAGAACATGTACACTATGGCAGGGCGAATCTGGTCTAGGGCCAAAGGAGAGTTCTCTTGATGCCTGAGATAGTTGCACTAAACGAGCGTCATGAGAACCTCAGCCAACTTGGCATAAAGGAGGCAGACAGATAGTGTGGACTTTGCTGTGCCTGGGCAGGCTTCTGGCTATTCAGTTAGTGCCCACTGAGAGATGTCTCTGGCCCCTGTATATTCTGAGGAGAGTATGCTGCCACTGATAGGGGCATTTAGCCAGACACCAAATATTAGTTCACATATTGTCCTGATGTCCCGATCCTTGGCCAAAAGAAAAATGTTTTTTCTAAATACTCTATGAAGAAGAGAGTTGGGAAGTAGGGTAAGAGCAGATTGGTTTCTTCAGTGGGTGCCGACCTCACAGTCAGAACTCACTCTTGTACAGAATGGAGATACAGAGCCTCAGATCTGTTTAGCTAGGCATCTGCTCTTTTAAAATAAGATCTAAACAAGGAAGGCTACTTTCTAGTTCTCTCTGAGATTAACAGGAGAAAGATTATTAGTTCTAACTTTTTAGCTTGGCATGATAGGTCAAAGTTTGAACTGAGATGAATGTAGGCGTGTGGGGTAAAATTCCATGTCCTTTGGAAGGCTCTAACCTTATTCTGAGTAGAATAAGAAATGGATTTGGACGCTTACTTTTTTTTCCTTTTTCTGTCTGTCTTCTTCCATGATGTTGATGGGTTGGGACATGAAGGGGTAAATCTGTGAAATGAAAGGAGGAAAGGGAAAATAAATATTTCTCCATTTAGTTATACCTCTCGGCTGAATGCTGTCTTGCTAAGCCACAGCTTTCGGGTGTGTTATTGGTTTTATTTGGAGACCCTATTTTATAACCTCAAAGGGTTTCCTGAGATCATTCCAATGACCCATGGTTATAGTTTGAAGAAAAGGGAATGTTGTAAATACAGAGTTGTTGAGAGGAGCAGGAAGGACTAGGAAAGATTGTTTGGTCATCAAAGTTGACATTAAAGGCCAGAGAAGGTCATCAGTTTGTTCAAAATCACTGGATCCATTTCTCAGGGTCCCCCAAAGACTAGTGTGTAAAAATGCCAGATGCCAGTGTACCAAGTCATCGTGAAATACAGCATTACCAATGAAACCAGCTATTCCTGTGTGCTGATCAGGGCTGTCTTTCCTTGTGAACTCTTTTACGTGGAAAACCAAATTATAATCAGAAAGCCAACATGTAGTGAGAGCCATCCATTTCCTTAAGAGATCAGATTAGCACGTTCTGCTCTTCAGGGCCAGACTAGCAGGAGAAGGTCACTTGGACAGCATGGATTCAGAATCAGATTGTTCATTGAAAATCCTTCTGCACACTCCTCAACCAGACTCCACTCTCTGCTGGGGCCGCCTGATGTGCCACATGGGCTGGTGGGGCAGTGGCTCTCAGGATAGTGCTGAAGGGCTTCCGCCCAGCTGGCCTCCATCAATGGAGGCCCTTGAATGAGTTTTATAGCCATCATTTCCTGTCTTGTTAACATGATTTTCATCAGCCTGATAACAGGGCAGTTGTTTTCATTGTGGACCATTTAGTTATCTTAAATCTGGTTCTTTCTTTCAAGTGTGTCATTGGATTCTGAGAAATTACTGATAACCTCTTCATTGTTTCTGTACCTGGTGGATTTCTATTTTTCCTCATTGCTGCTCCACAGGAAACCTTAGCTTCAGTTGTAGAGTTACAGAGTTTGACTACCAGCCCCATGTACTGCTAAACATGGCAATGTGGCATCCATCAGAGATGAAGATGACTCCTAAATTCAGAGGGTGCAGCATGAACTGTGCTGTTGTCAGGAGGAGAGCTAGTCTGGTCTGTTCTGCAGTGACATTAGAGCCACAGACATTTTCTCTGATAAATAATTGAGCTGTGTTTTCCGAGGAGGTCTCATTACAATGAGCAGGAGCGTAGAGGTGAGAGGTTTGGTTACAGTGAGATGAAAGATACAGAAGGTAGATAGACAGGAGTTGGCCTGAAGTGTTCCTGCTTTGTATCCCAAAAGTGGGGGGCTTCCAGATGATGGTCTGATGCAGAGTGCTGGGTCTCAGTGCCTCGCTCCTCACAGCCAGTCCCTGTCCTTGCTGAGCTGGAAAGAATCCCAGGGGGCTGATAGTTATATCACTTTAATTAAATGCCTGATTTTTGTCTTTTGGGACTTTTATATGAGTGAAACTTGAGGGTTGAAGAACCAAATGGGGCTGAGAGGGTGACTGTGGAATAGCCTAAAAGAGTGGAGGGCTCTGCTACCATGGTCCCAGTGGGGAGAGGCAGGTATTAATTCCTCTTCATTAATCTTTTTCTCTCTTCTTTCTTCTTTCCATGCCCATGTCTTGGAGCAGTTATTACAGTAAGTATTTTCAGAGTGGGAGTGGGGGGGGTTGCAATTGTGGATGACTTAGAAGAAGAAATTAAAATGCAGCTGTACTTGACATTCCTGGGTGTTCCTCTTTCCTCTTGGGTGACTTTCGGAACTATTGAGGTTTCATCCTCCCAGTCCTAGTGAGGAACTTGTTAATTCACCACGTCTCCTCTTAGTGAAGCTGCATTGGCCTGTAACTTTATCAGGTACAGCAGTCATGACTGGGGCATCCTGGCTCTTGGTCTTACATATACAGAATGACCCGAGGCTCTCCCCTACTCTCCCCAGGTCACACCTTCTGGGGTTGTACAGAACCCTCAGTTCAGCTGCCCTGGGTGTGCCTTTCCACTCACCTTTGGCAAAGCTGTGAGTCAGTAAGGTTTCTTTTCCTTTGGCATTGCCCCTTCCTTTTACCCTTCAGCATCCTTGGCCAAGTGCCTTGTCCCTGCTGATAACTGTAGGCAATTTCTGGGAACCCAGTTTCTGGTGAGGAGTTCATCCTTTGAGTAGTTACAGTTTTTAAAAGTAAGGGAGGAAAACAATAATTAACATGAAGAGTTAAATTGCTGAGAAGAGACCAGGTCTCATAAAAGCTGGTTGGAGGCATGAGGCAGTGATGAACGTTGCTGGCCGGTTAGGCAGTCTTCCTGCACTGCCCCACATGACTAATAAGCCACCAGATGAGTGGCTAGCCTAAGGTCCTATAGCAGAGTGGTTATGTACATGGATTCTGAAGTCAGACAAACTTTTTTGAGGCTTATCTCAGTGAACTTGGACAAGTCACCTCGCCCCTTTGAACATTATTTTCCTCTTTTATAAAGCATGTTGGGTGAGGACTAAATGAAATGATGTGTGCCTAGCATATCTTGGGCTCCCAATAAAGGTAGCGGTTACTATGAGGTAGAGGCTGGAATCTTTCAACTGTCCATGATCTAGTAATGATCTAGTAATGGCATAGTTACACCCAACTTTTAGCCTGGCAACTGTAAGGTATTTTGTTTTCTCCTTTCAGAATGAGTACATGAAAGAAGACTTTCTGATTAAAATTGAAACCTGGCACAAACCAGATCTTGGCACCCAGGAGAATGTAAGTACCTAAGAAACCCCTAGAGTAGGATGTTGAGGACCTGATTCTCCATTCCGAACTTCTCCATTCCTAGTAGAGGTGCTTCCCCAGGGCCCCCTTTTTCCTGGGGAAGAAGGCAACAACCTATGCTGGACCTGTCCTACAAATATGGAATTACCGTCTTAATTTACAAAATATGATCTCTAAAACTTCTCCTAGGATGTTCTTGTCATGCTGGGATTGGTCTAAAGTACAACTCTTGGCATAAAGACCTATATTTGTAAAACATCAAAATTGCAGCCTCTGTGGAGCACAATTTGCCAAATTGAGCACAAATTGCCAAATGCAACTATGCTAAACCCCAGCA